TTGGGGGGAGTTTTGGGGGGATTTGTGAATTTTGCAGAAAAAATTTGGGAATTTTGGGGGAATTTTCGGGGAGTTTGAGGGGATTTTTGGGCAAAGTTTGGGAATTTTGGGGGGACTTTTGGGAGAATTGGGGGCAGCTTGAGGGAGATTTTGGGAAACTTGGGGTGGATTTTGGGGAATTTTGGGAGCATTTTGGGAATTTGGAGGATTTTGGGGAATTTTGGGGGCAGTTGATGGGATCTAGGGGAATTTTAGGGGGGATTTGGGTAAAATTTGGGAGTTTGGGGGGTTGGGAGGATTGGGGGGAATTTTGGGGGAAATTACGGGAAAATTTGGAGAATTTGTGGTTTTGGGAATTTTGGGGAAATTTGGGGGGACTTCGGGGGGATTTTGGCAGAATTTTGGGGGCGTTTGGGGAAATTTTGGGGAAAATGTGGGAAATTTGGGGAATTTTGGGGAGAATTTGTGGTTTGGGGAATTTGGGGGAAATTTGGGGGGACTTCGGGGGGATTTTGGCAGAATTTTGGGGGCGTTTGGGGAAATTTTGGGGAAAATGTGGGAAATTTGGGGAATTTTGGGGACATTTGAGGCCGATTTTGTCCTCCCCGGGTGGTTTTTTGGGGCAGTTGATGAATATTCATCTTTATGCAAATGAGCGGGTAGGGTGGGGAGAAACCACGCCCCCTTTGCAGCTGTTGTGGGGGGGAGGGGAAGGGGGGGGAATTCCAGCAAAGGATTCTGGGAGCAGCTGCTGGGGGGGCTCCCAGTGCTCCCAGTCCATCCCAGTCCCTCCCAGTTCATTCCCAGTTCATTCCCAGTCTCTCCCAGTCCATCCCAGTTCATTCCCAGTCTCTCCCAGTCCCTCCCAGTCCATCCCAGTTCATTCCCAGTCCCTCCCAGTCCATCCCAGTTCATCCCAGTTCATTCCCAGTCCCTCCCAGTTCATTCCCAGTCCCTCCCAGTTCATTCCCAGTCCCTCCCAGTTCATTCCCAGTCCCTCCCAGTTCATTCCCAGTCCCTCCCAGTTCATTCCCAGTCCCTCCCAGTTCATTCCCAGTCCCTCCCAGTTCATTCCCAGTCCCTCCCAGTTCATTCCCAGTCCCTCCCAGTCCATCCCAGTTCATTCCCAGTTCATTCCCAGTCCCTCCCAGTCCATCCCAGTTCATTCCCAGTTTATCCCAGTCCATCCCAGTTCATTCCCAGTTTATCCCAGTCCATCCCAGTTCATTCCCAGTTTATCCCAGTCCATCCCAGTTCATTCCCAGTTTATCCCAGTCCATCCCAGTTCATTCCCAGTTTATCCCAGTCCATCCCAGTTCATTCCCAGTTTATCCCAGTCCATCCCAGTTCATTCCCAGTTTATCCCAGTCCATCCCAGTTCATTCCCAGTTTATCCCAGTCCATCCCAGTTCATTCCCAGTTTATCCCAGTCCATCCCAGTTCATTCCCAGTTTATCCCAGTCCATCCCAGTTCATTCCCAGTTTATCCCAGTCCATCCCAGTTCATTCCCAGTTTATCCCAGTCCATCCCAGTTCATTCCCAGTTTATCCCAGTCCATCCCAGTTCATTCCCAGTTTATCCCAGTCCATCCCAGTTCATTCCCAGTTTATCCCAGTCCATCCCAGTTCATTCCCAGTTTATCCCAGTCCATCCCAGTTCATTCCCAGTTTATCCCAGTCCATCCCAGTTCATTCCCAGTTTATCCCAGTCCATCCCAGTTCATTCCCAGTTTATCCCAGTCCATCCCAGTTCATTCCCAGTTTATCCCAGTCCATCCCAGTTCATTCCCAGTTTATCCCAGTCCATCCCAGTTCATTCCCAGTTTATCCCAGTCCATCCCAGTTCATTCCCAGTTTATCCCAGTCCATCCCAGTTCATTCCCAGTTTATCCCAGTCCATCCCAGTTCATTCCCAGTTTATCCCAGTCCATCCCAGTTCATTCCCAGTTTATCCCAGTCCATCCCAGTTCATTCCCAGTTTATCCCAGTCCATCCCAGTTCATTCCCAGTTTATCCCAGTCCATCCCAGTTCATTCCCAGTTTATCCCAGTCCATCCCAGTTCATTCCCAGTTTATCCCAGTCCATCCCAGTTCATTCCCAGTTTATCCCAGTCCATCCCAGTTCATTCCCAGTTTATCCCAGTCCATCCCAGTTCATTCCCAGTTTATCCCAGTCCATCCCAGTTCATTCCCAGTTTATCCCAGTCCATCCCAGTTCATTCCCAGTTTATCCCAGTCCATCCCAGTTCATTCCCAGTTTATCCCAGTCCATCCCAGTTCATTCCCAGTTTATCCCAGTCCATCCCAGTTCATTCCCAGTTTATCCCAGTCCATCCCAGTTCATTCCCAGTTTATCCCAGTCCATCCCAGTTCATTCCCAGTTTATCCCAGTCCATCCCAGTTCATTCCCAGTTTATCCCAGTCCATCCCAGTTCATTCCCAGTTTATCCCAGTCCATCCCAGTTCATTCCCAGTTTATCCCAGTCCATCCCAGTTCATTCCCAGTTTATCCCAGTCCATCCCAGTTCATTCCCAGTTTATCCCAGTCCATCCCAGTTCATTCCCAGTTTATCCCAGTCCATCCCAGTTCATTCCCAGTTTATCCCAGTCCATCCCAGTTCATTCCCAGTTTATCCCAGTCCATCCCAGTTCATTCCCAGTTTATCCCAGTCCATCCCAGTTCATTCCCAGTTTATCCCAGTCCATCCCAGTTCATTCCCAGTTTATCCCAGTCCATCCCAGTTCATTCCCAGTTTATCCCAGTCCATCCCAGTTCATTCCCAGTTTATCCCAGTCCATCCCAGTTCATTCCCAGTTTATCCCAGTCCATCCCAGTTCATTCCCAGTTTATCCCAGTCCATCCCAGTTCATTCCCAGTTTATCCCAGTCCATCCCAGTTCATTCCCAGTTTATCCCAGACGAGGTGGCCTTGGGGACATTGCAGGGGGTTGGGGACTTTGGGGGTGTTGGGGACATTGGGGACATTGAGAGGATTTGGGGACATTGGGGATATTGAGGGGATTTGGGGACATTGGGGACATTGCGGGATTGAGGGCGTTGAGGGGATTGGAGACATTGGGGACATTGGAGATGTTGGGGACATCAAGGGGATTTGGGGACAATGGGGGGATTTTGGGACATTGGGGGTGTTGGGGACATTGGGGACATTGAGGGGATTTGGGGACATTGGGGACATTGGAGGTGGTGGGGACATCAAGGGGATTTGGGGACATTGGGGGCATTGGGGGCATTGAGGGTGTTGGGGACATTTGGGAACATTGGGGACACTGTGGATGGACCCGAGGCCATTGGGGACCTTGGGGACACCCTGGGGACCTCGGGCTGTCACAGACCCCGATAAATCCCTGGGATCTCCTTGGCTGACGCCACCCTCGGGTGCCACCGGCTGCGGTTGGTGTCACCTCAGGTGATCGGTGGCAACGAGGACCCCGAGGGGGTGGTGCTGAAGGACCTGTCCCCAGCGCCGGTGGCCCGGGCCCTCCGGGTGTACCCACGGGCGCCGCGCGCCATGAGCGTCTGCCTGCGCCTTGAGCTCTACGGCTGTCCCTGGGAGGGTGAGTGCCACCTCCGTGTCACCTCCCTGTCACCCCTGAGTCACCCCTGAGTCACCTGTGTCCCACCCTGCTGGTGGCCCAAAAAGTGTGGTGGTCGCCCATGGTTGTGTCCTTCACCCAACGACCCTTGGTGGTGGCCCTGGGGCATCTGGGTTGGGGTCTTGTCATTGTGGGGTCAATGGTCGGGTGTTGGGGTCATCCATTGGGTGTTGGGGTCAACAGTTGGGTCATGGGGTCAACGGTTGGGTCATGGGGGCAATGGTTGGGTGTTGGGGTCAAGTGTTGGGTGTTGGGTCAAGGGTTGGGTGTTGGGGTCAACAGTTGGGTCATGGGGTCAACGGTTGGGTCATGGGGTCAACGGTTGGGCCATGGGGGCAATGGTTGGGTGTTGGGGTCAAGTGTTGGGTGTTGGGTCAAGGGTTGGGTGTTGGGGTCAACAGTTGGGTCATGGGGTCAATGGTTGGGTCATGGGGTCAACAGTTGATGATGTCATACATTGGCTCATGACATCATCCCCCTCCTCATGACATCATCATGGCCACCCATCCCACCCAGCGCCACCTCTTGGATGTCCCTAAAGGGGTGGTGACCCTCTATGGCCACGTGCCCCCTGTTCACCTGCTGGTGACCCCGTGGTGACCCCGTGGTGACCCCGTGGTGACACATCCCCATCCCCGTCCCCAGCCGGGCTCTTGTCCTACACGGCCCCGCGGGGACACGTCATGGCCCTGGACCCCGTCCCCATCGTCCTCAATGACTCCACCTACGACGGCTTCAGCGCTGGCCCGTGAGTCCCCAGGTGTCCCCAGGTGTCCCCAAATCATCTCCAGGCATCCCCTGCCCCAAGAATTCCCAAAATTCCTGTATCCAACCCCCCCAAGGTGTCCCCAAACTGTCCCAGGAGTTTTCCAGATGTCCCCAGTGATCCTCAAAGTGTCCCCGGGTGTCCCCACGTGTCCCCAAACTGTCCCAGGTTGTCCCTTATGGAGTCCACAGGTGGGTGGGATGGGACAATCCCCATATCCAGGTGTGTCCCACCTGCCCAGGTGTCACTGGGGGATCTCCAGGTGGGTGGGACGGGACAATCTCAGTACCCAGGTGTGTCCCACCTGCCCAGGTGTCACTGGGGGATCTCCAGGTGGGTGGGACGGGACAATCTCAGTACCCAGGTGTGTCCCACCTGCCCAGGTGTCACTGGGGGATCTCCAGGTGGGTGGGACGGGACAATCTCAGTACCCAGGTGTGTCCCACCTGCCCAGGTGTCACTGGGGGATCTCCAGGTGGGTGGGACGGGACAATCTCAGTACCCAGGTGTGTCCCACCTGCCCAGGTGTCACTGGGGGATCTCCAGGTGGGTGGGACGGGACAATCTCAGTACCCAGGTGTGTCCCACCTGCCCAGGTGTCACTGGGGGATCTCCAGGTGGGTGGGACGGGACAATCTCAGTACCCAGGTGTGTCCCACCTGCCCAGGTGTCACTGGGGGATCTCCAGGTGGGTGGGACGGGACAATCTCAGTACCCAGGTGTGTCCCACCTGCCCAGGTGTCACTGGGGGATCTCCAGGTGGGTGGGACGGGACAATCTCAGTACCCAGGTGTGTCCCACCTGCCCAGGTGTCACTGGGGGATCTCCAGGTGGGTGGGACGGGACAATCTCAGTACCCAGGTGTGTCCCACCTGCCCAGGTGTCACTGGGGGATCTCCAGGTGGGTGGGACGGGACAATCTCAGTACCCAGGTGTGTCCCACCTGCCCAGGTGTCACTGGGGGATCTCCAGGTGGGTGGGACGGGACAATCTCAGTACCCAGGTGTGTCCCACCTGCCCAGGTGTCACTGGGGGATCTCCAGGTGGGTGGGACGGGACAATCTCAGTACCCAGGTGTGTCCCACCTGCCCAGGTGTCACTGGGGGATCTCCAGGTGGGTGGGACGGGACAATCTCAGTACCCAGGTGTGTCCCACCTGCCCAGGTGTCACTGGGGGATTCCCAGGTGTCACTGGGGGATCTCCAGGTGGGTGGGATGGGACAATCCCCATATCTAGGTGTGTCCCACCTGCCCAGGTTGCACTTCGGGGGGCTGGGCCAGCTCTCAGACGGGGTCCTGGGCCTCGATGACTTCTTGAGGACCCGCGAGCGCCGCCTGTGGCCAGGCTACGACTACGTGGGGTGGCCGCGGCCACCTGGGCCCCACCCCAATGTGGAGCTGGAGTTTGAGTTCCAGGAGCTCCGCACCTTCCACGCCATGCAGGTGCCCCGGGGAATGCTGGGAGATTTGGGGCGCCTGGAATTGTGGGATTGGTCAGCCATGGATGGATGGATGGGGGGACACCACATCAACCCCACCTTGGGGTCTGGGATGTCCCTCTGGAGAACGTCTGGATTGGTCACCTTGCCCCAGAGCATCATGGGACGCATTGTCACCCCCCCCAGGTCCACTGCAACAACCTCCACACGCGTGGCGTCGGAATCTTCCGGGCGGTCGAGTGTCGCTTCAAGAAGATCTTGGCCACGGCCTGGGAGCCCACGGTGGTCACCCACAGCCTGGCCGGGGCCACCAAGGACCCCAGCGCCCGCTTGGTCACCGTCCCCTTGGGCGGGCGCCATGCCCGCTTCATCCAGTGCCGCTTCTTCTTTGGCGCCGAGTGGATGCTCTTCAGTGAGGTCTCCTTTGTCTCAGGTTGGGCATTGGGGTCAATGGTTGGGTCATGGGTCAATGGTTGGGTGTTGGGGTCATTGGCTGGGTCATGGGGTCAATGGTTGGGTGTTGGGGTCAATGGTTGGGTCATGGGGTCAATGGTTGGGTGTTGGGATCAATGGTTGGGTGTTGGGGTCATTGGTTGGGTCATGGGGTCATTCATTGGGTGTTGGAGTCAATGGTTGGGTCACGGGGTCATCGGTTGGGTGTTGGGGTCAATGATTGGGTCATGGGGTCATTGGTTGGGTCATGGGGTCATTCATTGGGTGTTGGGGTCAATGGTTGGGTCATGGGGTCATCGGTTGGGTGTTGGGGTCATTGGTTGGGTGTTGGGGTCAACGGTTGGGTCATGGGGTCAATGGTTGGGTGTTGGGCTCATTCATTGGGTGTTGGGGTCAACGGTTGGGTCATGGGGTCAATGGTTGTGTCATGGGGTCAACGGTTGGGTGTTGGGGTCATCCACTGGGTCTTGGGGTCAACGGTTGGTTGATGACATCATTGGTTGACTGGTGAGTTCCTTGTCGATCATTGACATCACTGATTTTGTGATAACGCCATTGATCATTCATGATTTTGTTGCTGATGACATCACTGACTGTTGATGACATCACCAATGACCGTCCCCACCCCCAGAGGTGCTGGATGACCCCGTGGGTGCCAGCGGGTGGCCCCCAACACCTGACCCCTCTGCCGCCATCTTGGAAAGCGCCCACGATGGGGGCAGGGCAACCAACACCACTGCCCTGGGTAGGCGGGGCTTAACTGGGTGGGGTTTAGCTGGGTGGGGTTTAGCTGGGTGGGGTTTAGCTGGGTGGGGTTTAAATGGGTGGGGTTTAACTGGGTGGGGTTTAAATGGGTGGGGGTTAACGGGGTGGAGCTTTAATGGGTGGGGCTTAACTGGGAGGGTCTTAATGGGGTGTGGCTTGATGGAGGCACAAATGGGTGGGGCTTAACTGGGTGGGGTTCAATGGGGTGGGGATTAAATGGGCGTGGCTTATCCATGGTGGGCGTGGCCATGACGCCCTCCTGCCCCTCCCATTCCTCCCAGTAGCCCCCGGGGAGGCCGAACTGGTCCCGCCGGCGGCCCAGGGTGAGGCGGGGCAGTCGCCGGCGCTGCTGGGCTGCCTGGGCGCCATCATCCTCCTCCTGCTCGCCATCATCATCCTCATCCTGCGGCGGCGCCGCGGCGCGGCCGGGCCGCTGGGCAAGGTCACTGGGAGGGACTGGGGGGGACTGGGAGGGACTGGGAGGGGCCGAACTGGTTTTTACTGGTCTGAATTGGGGCTGAAGCGGTTCTAACTGGGACCGAACTGGTTCTAACTGGTCTGAGCTGGTCCTAACTGGTTCTAACCGGTTTTTACCGGTCCTCAGGGCCGCGGGGCGGAGGCGGCGCTGCGGGTGCAGCTCTCGGGGGACACCGTGGTCATCAACAACGCCACGGGGGGGGGAGGGGCACGGGGGGGACCCCGCTACGAGCGGATCGGAACCGGGAACGGGAACGGAACCGGCACTGGGACTGGCACTGGAACCGGGACTGGAACCGGGGAGTACCAGGAACCCACCCGAGCACGGCCCCGAGCGCCCCCGGTGCCCCCCGGGGCTGGTGAGAGAGGGGAGGGGAAAAGGGGAAAAAGGGGGGGAAATGGGGGAGAAATGGGGGGAAAAGGGAAAAAAATGGGAAAAAGGGGGGGAAAATGGGGGGAAAGGGAAAAAAGGGGAGGAAAAAAGGAGGGGGAAAAAAGGAGGGGAAAAGGGAAAAACTGGGAAAAAAGGAGGGGAGAAATGGGGAGAAATTGGGGGGAAGGGGAAAAAATGGGAAAAAAGGAGGGGGAAAAAGGAGGGGAAAAGGACTGGGAAAAAAGGGGGGGAGAAATGGGTGGAAAGGGAATAAAGGGGGGGAGAAATGGGGGGAAAAGAGAAAAAATGGGAAAAAGGGAGGAAAATGGGAGAGAAATGGGGGGGAAGGGAAAAAAGGGGAGGAAAAAAGGAGGGGGAAAAAAGGAGGGGAAAAGGGAAAAACTGGGAAAAAAGGAGGGGAGAAATGGGGAGAAATTGGGGGGAAGGGGAAAAAATGGGAAAAAAGGAGGGGGAAAAAGGAGGGGAAAAGGGGAGGAAAAGGGGGGGAAGGGAGGGAAAAAGGGAGGGGGGAAAGGGAAAAAAGTGGGAAAAAAGGGGAAAGGGGAAAGAAGGGGCGGAAAAGAGGGAAAGGGGAAAGGGACAAAAAGGAAAAGTGGAAAAAAGGGAAAAGAGGGGGAAAAGGGGAAAACAGGAGGGAAAAAGGAGAGAAAAAAAGAGGGAGGGAGGATTTTCCCCCTTTTTTTTTTCCGGGAGTATCCCCGAAAAAATTGGGTCCAGGAATGAGGAAAAGGCTCAAAATGGCCCCCAAAATCCCCTGACCACGCCCATCTCTGACCACGCCCCCAGCCAATCCAGCCTATCGGCTGCTCCTTGCCACCTACGCCCGGCCAATAGGAGGCCTTGCTCTGGCTCCGCCCAAAACCGCCAAGCCAATCAACACTGACGGTAAGGGTGGGGCTTGGGAAGGGTCACTCCCACTTTAGCCACACCCACAATGACCTCACCTGTGCCCCTCCCACCTGCACAGGTGAGCCCGAGGTGGGGGCGGGGGCTTACGCTGAGGCTGATGTCACCGGAGGCTCCGCCTATGCCCTGGCTGGCCCCGCCCACAGCCCCGCCCATGGCCCCGCCCTCCCAGCCTTCCCTCGGGACCGCCTCCGCTTCCGGGAGAAGCTGGGGGAGGGGCAGTTCGGAGAGGTAAGCCACACCCCTGGCATGAAGCCACGCCCCGATTGAGGTGACACACACTGTGGCTTAGCCCCACCCCTAAAGGTCTTTAGCCACGCCCCTAAGTTACTTGCCACACCCCCAAATGGTTTATCCCCAGCCCTTTTTGAGGCCACACCCACTATGGCTTTAGCCCCGCCCCATTGGAAAGGCACCACCCCTTTCTATTTGGCCACACCCTCACAGATTTGGCCACACCCCCTTTCCTTTGGCCCCGCCCCAGGTGCTGCTGTGCCACATTGTTGCCCCGCCCGTTTTCTGAGGCCCCTCCTCTTTCTCTGGCCCCGCCCCCAGGTGCTGCTGTGTGAGGTCATCGCCCCCCACACCCTGGGCCTGGCCCCACCTCCAAGCTTAGGCCCCGCCCCCTCGGCCGTAGAGCGACCCCTGCTGGTGGCGGTCAAGGTGCTGCGGCCGGACGCCACCAAAAACGCCCGGTACGGGAACTGGGAGAACTGGGAGGGACTGGGGGGGGCTGTGTATTCCACGTGCCCCCAGGTGTGCCTAGGTGTGTCCAGGTGTACCCAGGTGTATCCCAGGTGTACCCCACATGCCCCCAGGTGTGCCCAGGTGTACCCAGGTGCACCCAGGTGTATCCCAGGTGTGCCCCACATGTGTCCAGGTGTGCCCAGGTGTATCCAGGGCATACCCAGTGGTACCCAGGGCATTCCCAGGTGTCCCCAGGTGTGCCCAGGTGTGCCCAGGTGTACTCAGGGCATACCCAGGTGTGCCCAGGTGTGCCCAGGTGCGCCCAGGTGCACCCAGGTGCGCTGACCTGGCGCCGGGCGCGCCCAGGCGGGATTTCCTGCAGGAGGCGCGGACGCTGGGCCGGCTGCGGGACCCCAACATCGTGCGGCTGCTGGGGGTGTGCGGGGGGCCCGGCCCCCTGTGCATCGTCACCGAGTACATGGAGCACGGAGACCTGCACCAGTTCCTGGGCGGGCCCCGCGGCCACGCCCTCAGGTGGGACACGCCCACATTCCCCACACCTGGCTGGGACACGCCCACTACAGCCACGCCCGCTTTTAGTTCTGTTTTTTGTTGTCATTTCTGGCGTTCTGGCCCTTTAAGAGAAGCCCCTCCATAATTAAGCCACGCCCATCATTTAAAATGCCACGCCCATATATGCACACACCCCTGAGCCACGCCCCTTCAAGCCCCGCCCACTCTGAGTAATTTCTGTCAGTGTTTCTGGGGTGCTGGCCCTTTAAGAGCAGCCCCTCCCACCCCATTAAGCCACGCCTATTGTGCATAAACCACGCCCATCCCTCAGGCCACGCCCCTTCTGGGGTTTGGGGCGGGACAATTGGATTTTTTTGGGGGGAAATGACTTTTTTGGGGGGAAAAACAGGAAAAGGTGCGGAAAAAAAGGAATTTTTTGGCAAAAAGCAATTTTTGGGAGAAAAAGAAGAACAAGCGAAGAAAAATATTAATTTTTTAATTAAATATAGGAATTTTTGGGACTAAAGTGGAATAGGTGAAGGGAAAATTGAAATTTGTGAGGAAAAACACTTCTTTTTCAGAAAATAAAACCAGAAATAGGGGTATAAAAAATTGGGTTGTTTTAGGAAAAACACATTTTTTGGGGGAAAACCACCAAAAATAATTAAAAACAACAGATTTTGGGGGGAAATTAACTTTTTTTCTAGGAAATCCAGGAACAAGTATAGCAAAAACAGATTTCTTGGGGAAAAAACCCCAGGAATAAATGTAAAAAAAAAAAAATTTAGGGAAAAATGGGTTTTTCTCAAAAAAAAAAAAAAAAACAGTGAAAAATGAAGAAAAAATTGAATTTTGGAGGGAAAGAAGGCAAATTTTTGGGGGGAAAATGGGGGGTTTTTTTGAGAAATCCTGAAAATTAAATTTTTTTCCCCAGCTCAGATCCTGGCTGGGCTGAAGGGAATTGCATTTTTGTGGGGAAAAAAGAGAAAAAATAGGCCAAAATTTTAAGAAATTTTGGGGGAATGGAAAAAATTGGGGTTTTGGGGAAAAAATGGGGAAAAATGGGATTTTTGGGGGGAAAAATTGGGAAAGAAAAAGAAAAATCGGAAATAATTGGATTTTGGAGGGAAGTTTTGGGGGAATTGGGAAAAATTGGAATTTTGGGGAAAAAAATGGGGGGGAAATGGGATTTTTGGGAAAAAATGGGAAAAAATGGGATTTTTGGGTAAATATTGGGGATGATGGGATGAAAATTGGGGGGAAGTTGGATTTTGGGAGGAAATGGTGACAAAATGGGGAAAAGAATTGGGAAAAAAATAGGAAAAAAATTGAATTTTGAGCGAAAAAAATGGGAAAAATTGGAAAAAGATGGGATTTTGGAGGGAAAAAAATCAGATATTTGGGGGGAAATGGGAAGGAAATTGGTAAAAAATGGGAGTTTGGCAGAAAATTTGGGGGAAAATGGAAAAAATTTGGATTTTAGGGAAAAATGGGGAAAAAAGGAATTTGGGAGGGAAAAAATTAGAGGAAAATTGGGGTTTGGGGGAAGAACTGGGGAAAAATTTGAGATTTTGAGGGGGAAAATTGGGAAATTTTGACTTCCTGAGCTCCTGAAGACTCCCAAAAATTCCCAAAAATTCAAAAAAATTCCCAAAATTCCCAAAGTTTGGGATTCCAGGGGGCGTTCAGCCGGGCCAGCGACGCCTGGGCCTTGGGGGTGACGCTCTGGGAGGTGCTGAAACCGCAAATTTTGACTTCCTGAGCTCCTGAAAACTCCCCAAAATTCCCAGAAATTCACAAAAAATCCCCCCAAAAACTCCCGAAATTCCCGAATTTGGGATTCCAGGGCACGTTCAGCCCGGCCAGCGACGCCTAACCCCAAATTTTGACTTTCTGACTTCCTGAAAACTCCCAAAAATTCCCAGAAATTCACTAAAAATTCACATTTGGGATTCCAGGGGGCGTTCAGCCGGGCCAGCGACGCCTGGGCCTTGGGGGTGACGCTCTGGGAGGTGCTGAAACCGCAAATTTTGACTTCCTGAGCTCCTGAAAACTCCCCAAAATTCCCAGAAATTCACAAAAAATCCCCCCAAAAACTCCCGAAATTCCCGAATTTGGGATTCCAGGGCACGTTCAGCCCGGCCAGCGACGCCTGGGCCTTCGGGGTGACGCTCTGGGAGGTGCTGACGCGCTGCCGGGAGCCGCCGTACGGGGCCCTGAGCGACGAGCAGGTGATCGCCAACGCCGGCCACCACTTCCAGAACCGCGGCCAGCAGGTGGGACTGGGGGCACTGGGAGGGACTGGGAGGGACTGGGAGGGATTGGGAGGGAACTGGGAGGGGTTGGGAGGGAACTGCAAGGGATTGGAGGGGATTTGAGGGGGACTGGGGGGGACTGGGAGGGATTGGGGGGGGCTGGGAGGGGATTGGGGGGGCACTGGGAGGGACTGGGAGGGGTTGGGGGGGGGTGGGGGGGGGGTTTGGGGTTTGGGGTCACTGGTTTGTACTGGTTTGGGGTTTGGGGTTACTGGTTTGTACTGGTTTGGGGTTTGGGGGTCACTGGTTTGTACTGGTTTGGAGCTTGGGGTTACTGGGATGGACTGGGAGGGGATTGGGAGGGCACTGGGAGGGACTGGGAGGGATTGGAGGGGACTGGGAGGGATTGGAGGGGATTTGAGGGGGACTGGGAGGGGATTGGGAGGGAACTGGGATGGACTTGGAGGTGTTTGGAGGAGGTTATGGGGCACTGGGAATGGACTGGGATTGACTGGGAAGGGACTGGAGGGGATTTGAGGGGACTGGGAAGGACTGGGAGCGTTGGGAGGGGACTGGGAATGGACTGGGATGGGACTGGGAGGAATTTGGGGGGGACTGGGAGGGACTGGGAGCATTGGGAGGGGACTGGGAATGGACTGGGATTGACGGGGAAGGGATTGGAGGGGATTTGAGGGGGACTGGGAGGGACTGGGAAGGATTTGGATTGACTGGGAGGGACTGGGAGGTGTTTGGAGGAGGTTATGGGGCACTGGGATGGACTGGGATGGACTGGAAAGGACTGGGAGGGGGTTGGAAGGGATTTGAAGGGGACTGGGAGGCACTGGGATTGACTGGGAAGGATTTTGGGGGGACTGGGCGGCATTTAGAGGAGCTTATGGGGCACTGGGATGGACTGGGAGGCACTGGGAGCTACTGGGATGAGGTTATGGGGCCCAGTTATCCCTGTCCCAGTCCCCCCAGTCCCCCCCAGTCCCCCCCAGTCCATCACCTTCATCATCATCATCATCATCACTGACCACCTGCTGAGTGAGCGCGGGGCCCTGGAGTGACCGTCGCCTTCATCATCATCATCATCATCATCACTGACCACCTGCTGAGTGACCGCGGGGCCCTGGAGTGACCGTCACCTTCATCATCACCTTCATCATCATCACTGACCACCCACTGAGTGACCGCGGGGCCCTGGAGTGACCGTCACCTTCATCATCATCATCATCATCATCATCATCATCATCATCATCATCATCATCACTGACCACCTGCTGAGTGACCGCGGGGCCCTGGAGTGACCGTCACCTTCATCATCACCTTCATCATCATCACTGACCACCCACTGAGTGACCGCGGAGCCCTGAAGTGACCGTCACCTTCATCATCATCATCATCATCATCATCATCATCATCATCACTGACCACCTGCTGAGTGAGCGCGGGGCCCTGGAGTGACCGTCACCTTCATCATCACCTTCATCATCATCACTGACCACCCACTGAGTGACTGCGGGGCCCTGGAGTGACCGTCACCTTCATCATCATCACCTTCATCATCATCACTGACCACCCACTGAGTGACCGCAGGGCCCTGGAGTGACCGTCGCCTTCATCATCATCATCATCATCATCACTGACCACCCACTGAGTGACCGCAGGGCCCCGGAGTGACCATGACCTTCATCACCTTCATCATCACCATCATCATCACCATCATCATCATCATCATCATCATCACTGACCACCCGCTGAGTGACCACTGCACCCTGGAGTGACCACAGTCATCTTCATCACCTTCCTCATCATCACTGACCGCCCTTTTGGCTGGACACTGAGTGACCACTGCACCCTGGAGTGACCACGGTCATCCCCCTCATTAACGGCGGGATTTAATTACGCACGGTGGGGGAGGGGCTGGGCTGATTTTTGGGGCAGAAATTCTGATTTTTGTACGTTTATTATTTAAAAATCTGTGATTTTTGAGCTTTTTTGAGTTTTAAATATAATTTTTTTCCCTCAAAAATTGTCCAAATTGTCCAAAATTTGTAAAAAATTGTCCAAAATTGTCCCAAAATTGTCAAAAATTGTCCAAAAATTGTCAAAAAAATCTCAAAAATTGTCAAAAAATTGCCAAAAATTTTCCAAAATTTCCCACTTCTTCCTAAAAATTTCAATTTTTTTCCCTTAAAAATACTTTTCCTCCCAAGAAAAGCTTCCCAAAAAGAAGTCATTTTACCAAAAAATTACAAAAAAATATTTTGTCCCCAAATAATTTTATTTTTCTTGGAAAAAAACCCCAGGCACCTCAATAAACTCCATCTTTTCCTTTTCCGAACACTCAGATTTTGAATAAATCTGCTTATTTTCATTGGAAATTCAACTTTTCACTCAGAAATTCTATTTTTTTCCCAACAAAATCAATTTTTTTCACACAGAAAATCCTTTTCTTCTACCCAAACCGCTTTTCCTCTAAAAATTCCCTTTAATAACAAAAAGACTTTTTTGGAGGCTTTTTTAGGCCCTTTTTTTAACCTTTTTTGAGCCCTTTTTTGGCCTTTTTTATTATTTTTGGGTGAATTTTCCGTGATACAAGCAGCGTTGCCATGGCAACAGGAGCAGGCCTTGGGAGTAGGCAGGCCGCAGGCTTCGTTGCTATGGCGACAGGAGCGGGCCGCAGGCTTTAGGAGTAGACAGGCCGCAGGCTTTGTTACCACGGCAACAAGGAGCAGGCCTTGTTGCCATGGTAACGTGCACAGGCCACAGGCTTTGTTGTCATGGCAACCAAATCAGGCCTTGACAGTACACAGGCCGCGGGTTTCGTTGCCGCGGCAACAAGACCAGGCCGCGGGCTTCGGCCTACTCCATCCTGCGCCATTTTCACCCCCTCCGCCCTCAAATCTGCCCCCTCCTCATCCCCCCAACCCCCCTTGAAAGCAGCTTCACCCC